CAAAATGTTTGGTTATTTGTTTTTTCAGAATTGAGACACATTTGTCATGTAATATGATCTTAAAACACTTTTATTTAAATTAACATTTTAATCAATTACTATTTCACAACAGTTGTCTGTAAGCACAATCAACAGGGTTATAGAAGTGGTTCTTCATTCTGGTCCTCAAGGCCCACCATCCTGCTTGTTTTAATTGTGTCCCATCTGCAGGTCTTTGAGTTCTACAGAAGTCTGTCAATCACTCGTTCATTTAAATAAGGTGTGCCAAAGCAGGGCAACAACTAAAACATGCAGGATAGTGGGTCATGAGGACCAGATCTGAGAACCACTGTACATGTACTCAGTTCACATGGGAAACCAAAATGAAGTATAGAATTATTTGTCTTTCTACAGAAAATAATTCATCACAGGTGTCCATTCAAAGCATATAGACATATTCTTTCAAGTCATTGAAAAAATTTTTAAAATATACTTTATTTCTTTTAACTTTGCCATTCAGCTCGTATTTTATTCTGACAGCAGGCAGAAAGAGCAGACAGACTGACATCTGCTAAAATCCTGGAAACAGTAATATTTTGTTGTAGATCTGAAGGTAAGTTTGAGCAGAGCTGTAAATAGCTGACATCTTTAGTTATAGGACAAGGTGTAGCATTCATGCTAGCATGGAGAGAATACCAGAAAGAGCCTTAAACATTTTTTTAATGTGCATAACGTTATAAACCAGTGCAGACATATTGATCAGGGTATTGTATGAATGTTTGGTTTCAACAATAAATATGTGTTTGCAGTCTTGTTTTCCTCATTAAAAAATTAAATCTATCCCTGCATAACTATTTATGGCTCATATGGTCCTTCCATGATTAATGGCAAGATGTTTTTCAGTATTTAAGTTAATTATTTTATATGGTAAAGTTAAAAAATAAAAAAATCTGAAATTTATCAGAAAAGTACTCTGAAGTTTTCATGAATGGCTAAAGGGTGATTCCACCTATCTTTAATCTGCTCTAGTTTAAAAACAAATTCGTAGACTTCAAACCTTATTCTACACTGATTTAAAATCAAGTGTGTCATTTGTGAAACATGGTGATTTCAGTATCTTTTTTAACATTTTATGAACAAATTGAGCATGGCAAGATTGACGGAGAGGCAAGAGAAAAAGAGAGAAAGTCAGGCTCAGAATTTTTTTCCACTATCAGCCCTGTAAGACAACGCTCACTCCATCATTTTAGCCTCTATTTAAACTGGCTGTGAGGACTGCCTCTGTCTTCTGGGCACTTATTTGCATTATTAATATTGCATACACTGACCTTTGCAAAGGCAATACGTTTTCAGGATATTGTTCAGTTCTAAAAGTTTTTTCTGTGTCATTTTATTACCATCAGTTGCTATAAAACTGTTTGGTGCTTACTTTGGTCTGTGTTCTCAGCTTTACGCCTCCGGTATTTGCTGCAGCAACACACCACAGTTTGACGACTTGTTTGGTTTTTCTGTTCAAGACGTGAAGACAGAGGTGAACAGAGGACGCAAACTGGTAAGGGATGTTAAAACCTCCTGATCTAAAAGAACCTAACCAACGTGCTGGACTTTCTTTTATTTCTGTCTCTCGTTTATTGGTTTTAGGTGTGCTCTCAGTGTAAGAGAAGAGGTGCCACTGCCGGGTGTGAATTGAAACGCTGTAAGAAGTCCTTCCATTATCCTTGTGCTATTGAGGAGGGAGCCAAAGTCTTTGAAGACAAAAAAACAGAAAATTATGGGTCAGTTCAACTTGCAAATGTACAATATTGGAGAAGATACTGCCCTGTACTGTTTTTTTAATAAGTCTTTGTGTTTTTGTGCTTCAGACTGTACTGTTTCAACCACAGTGCCGAAGGTAAGTGAGCAGATCTGCATATCTTCTTACTTTTCATTATTTTACAAAATATACCAGAATTGTAGAAATTTGCCTTTTTCTTGGCCAGAAAATAGAAACTCTGTCAATGGATCCAAAGCAAATTCTTGCAGGAGGTCCAGTGAAGGCAGCCAATCAAAGGTTTGACTGATGAAACTGTTTCAGACACACACAGAAATTCAACACTTCTTATTTAAGCCTCTAATTGTCTAAAAATGTAGCTCTTTAAATTTCAGAAATATTGTATTTATCCTATAAGATGGATCAAATATTTTCAGCTAAGTTAAATTCACATTCACAGACAAGTTTGGGACAGAATTATTTTTGTCAAACAATAATATTCATGTGTTATTTTTATGGAGTTATTGTCCTGCCTGTAAGAAGACAGAAGAAACATCTGTTTGAACACAATCTAATAGCATCATGTGAGTATTTTACAGCTGTATTTTCTTTTTAAAGTTACATTTTTTTGTTTCCATTCACATCAGTATGTTGAAATTGTAGGAATGTGTTTTTTATAGGTTGTATTTTTGACAAACACGTTCCTTCATTAACATTAGAGGAAAACCAATGGTAAGTGTTATTTAGATCCAAGTCCTCCTGTAAATAGTTCTGTTTATTGTACATTAAACATCTTTTTTTTTTTTGGGGTCAGGTGAGTCTTCAAGAAGCAAACTATCATCTTCATCCAGCAGTGATTCATCCTACACGACCACTGATTCCTTAAAGGTATTAGACACTGATTATAAATATGGTTTCTAATTCCGTGTATTTGTTTACTAATTTTTCTACTTCTGCATTTCAGAGACAGCTGAATTTCACTGAACAGTAAGTGTGGGAAAAATATGCTGTCTGGACTTGAGTATATTTTAAAATGAACCTTTTGAAATAATTTTGTTGATTTCGTAACTGTTTATTTTACAGCTTGGTGTTACTTAAAATAAGATAGAAATCTTGATGCCATTTCAAATTTTACAAAAAAAGATACAACTTTAACAAAACAACTGAATTTCTGTTGTGTAAAAAAATATGTTTTGCTTCCCTTTACGTGTCTAGTGAAACTAACAGGACATATCAGGTTTGGTTAAACCTTACAAGACTTAAAGGCACAGTGTGTAGGATTTTGTTTATTCTTTTAGCCGAAATTGAGATAATCACCAGTGGTGGACAAAGTACTCAACTCTAGTACTTGAGTAAAAGTATTGATACTCATGGTCAAATCTACTCCACTACAAGTAAAAGTTACTCAGTCAAAAATCTACTCAAGTAAAAGTACTGAAGTACTTACTTTTGAAAATACTTAAGTATTCAGAAGTACATGCATTTTAAAGTACTTAAGTACAAAGTATAAGTAAAAATTACATTCTCTTTTTTACTTTTCTTTTTTTGTCACTTCAGTAGAAAACGAAACTAAATATTAGTTTATTTATTTTATTTATTCATCATCAGTGACTTTTTTTAAGTGAAGAGAAAATAGAGACAGAAAATAGAGAG